CGTGTAACGAGTCGCAAGATAGCGATGCTTCATCACTGCACAGCAACCACTCTTCAGAGACTAGCGTGGAGGTCGATAAATCTCCGACACAAGGAAGCACCTGCCAACCTTCAGCGCATCTTCCGAGTGGCCAGACCCTGGCGCCTAGAGGTACTCTACATGCTCGCTCTGAGCTCACCCTATCTTTCAACGGGAGCCAATCCCATGCACCGCCGTCGATAGCGCCCCGAGAATACATCCACCCGTCCTCTAGCGATGAGAATCTCCCCTTCCAACCAACTTGTGCTCTCCATGTAGCTCAGAGCAAGCCACGATTGAACCGAAGGTCCTCAAAGCGGAGCGGTCCGCGGCAGAACTTAGCCGCGGATGCAAGTATGGGCATGATCAACGAGGCGAAACCCTCAGGAACTGAAGCGTTTCCAATCCCTCCACGTGCGTCCAGCCCTACCTTGAGCGAGGCTGAGTTCGACCTGCACGCTCAACTGGCTTCTTCGTTTGGCAGCAACAGCGATCCTCGCATGCTTGCCCAGGATGGGACGCCCCTTGCAGAACGCAACCCTTCCTGGAGGGGCATGCGTCAGGCGTCAGCTGGAGACGGGAAGCTTATTGATACTACAGGCCAGCCCCGAAGAGATTTCGCTAATGCTGTACTGCCTGATAATCCTCCTCCGGCTGTCCCGCGTAAATCCAGCAGGCGGCGATTGGCAGCCAGGACGACTGTTGAAGTCAACCGTCTACCGCGAGACCATATCGCTTCACAGCTGAAGCGAAAGTCCTTTCGCACGAGCAGAACATTGACACTTATGATTCCGCAATACAAGCGTTCCAGTGTGGACCTGGTGTTTTCTCCGCGAGCTGTTTCTACCAAAACCACCAAACCACCCATTACGTCTGACGGAGCTGAGAAAGTCATACTCAACATCTTCCAACATCTAGATCACTTCAACGATCTTTTCGCCGCAGCCTCCATCAACCGAGGCTTCTATCGTGTGTTCAAACGTCATGAACTCGATCTCATCAAATCTACCTTGCAAAAGATGTCACCACCAGCCTGGGAGTTTAGAGAGATCGCCTTTCCTGGACACGAACTTCTACTTGCAGCAGACCTTGAGACGACACGACCTGCAGAGGAGTACACCCCAACTTCATATCTCAAGCTCCAGAAGCGAGACATCCAAGTCATCCGCACAATCAAGTTGGAGATTATGGAGAAATGCCAGTCCTTCGTACGACCAGAGATATCAGCTGCGCTCATGAGCGCCTGCCCAGCCGAGTCTGCTAGGGTTGACGATGCGTTATGGCGCATATGGACATTCTGTAAGCTATTTGGCTCGGGAAAAGGACGTGAGGAGGACATTGTTGCGCAGATGGACTGGCTCAATGGTGGTATGCTTGTCCATCAGGCGACCTGCACCTTCAGCATGATGAGCACAGACCTCATGAGCGACACATTGGTCGGTGCACCTGAGTGCTTCGGGCAAGGGAACGAAGGCGGCCTTACCGCCGAGCAACTCTTCGACATGATGGAACTATGGACCTGTCTTTCCGTCCTGCTACAAAACTTCGAAGGGCGCACAGTTCAAGCCCGACAAGCCGGTATTTACGACAACACCGACATTCGTGGTGGCGATATTGATGGCGAGGAGATGATGCTTGGTTCGTCTATCCGCTGCATAATCATGGATCTTGCTAACCAGACCAGACGAATGGATCTACCACCTCCTCACCTTTGGCCTTGATACTGTTCTCAAGCTCACTGGCCCGTTCCACCCCTCGGATCCCAAAGCCTTTGTTATTGCGGCGGAGAACGGATGGGTCAACTGGAAGCCTCCTGTGCTTGACGGTACACGACAATACTTCCTCAAAGAAGCAGCCCGACGCGTCTACGAAGACAAGATTGCGCATACCTATGCTAAGATCTCAATCCGCGACGTGCAGCGCCAACAGTCCAAGATACGTATTCAGAAACACATTGACGAACTCAAGGATCGCAAAAGGAATGGTGAGCAACGACCAATGGTTCTCAGGGAAAGACCCATGTCAGACTGGGATACTGTGATTCGAAACTTGACACGCCCTCCTCTACCACCACAAGGCCCGGGAAAGGACATCATCACTCATGTTCCGGCACTGAGATCATCTTCTGTGGAAGACATACCGACATCTGTGCCTCTTCCTAGATCGAGGTCGACATCCAGCAGAACAGCTTCACCACCTCGGCGAACTGTGGCTCAGCCTTTGCTCCCATCACCGCCCCCCTCCACAGTTCCTAGTAACCATGATCGACATAGCATTTCGTCAATCCTAGCACCTATCAGGGAACGGACACCCTCACCGCCACGTCGAACGGTTGCTCAGCCCCTTCTACCATCTCCCTCGGTCACAACAGTCCAGAGCAACCGCGATCTATACACCATGGGCAGTGTATCAAGCGCAAGCTCTCCACCCCGCCGCATGTTTGCTCAGCCGCTTCTGCCGACACCCTCCGCTTCCACGGCGACAAACAGTCGTGATTGGCATCGCTACAGCACAGGCACATCTATGCCTTCTATCCTCGAGGATCCATTACATCATCCTCTGTCCGAACCACCCGGACCGCCTCACCCCGCATTCCGCCCTCATCCCATGTCAATGCCTTACCGTGGCCGCCACATGCGTCAGAGTAGTAGTCAGTCATCTGCCGGAAGCTCCACTCCCAGAGGTGGAGCCCTCCAACAGCACGAACAACAACACCACATCTATGGATCTCGGAGTCATGAGAACACGGCCGATAAGGCCATATGGCGGATTGTCGAGATGGGTTTCACAGCCGAGCAGGCCCGAGAGGCGCTAAGGTTAACCGATCTGGGAGACGGACTGAGGGTCGACCGAGCGGTGGAATTGCTGCTTAGTCGGCAGACATGAATGAGCTGGTGTTTGCAGAGTCGGAAGGATTCCGCTCGAGACAGATAATTTCCTTTTGTGGTAGGCGTTGCGATTTTGTCCTTCATTACAGCGCGTGCAAGATACCCCATCCTTTCGTTTGTGCATCTTATCATCAACAGTCTACAGTCGTTCAATGTATATTTTTACCTTTGCAGAACGGTCGGCGACCACAACCCACTTTGACATTATCATCTAACGGAATTCAACGGTTGAAGCCGCTGATGAGTCGTGGAAATTACCCGAAAGGGGACGGGACGGTATCCAATTTTAATTTCGCGGCCCCTCGACCCCAACGCTAATTCGGGATGACCCTAGCTCGATGGTTTGCCTTATTCGCATCACGATCAGGCAGTGCAAGGAAAGAAGTGGGAGCTTCGTTCGTGTATTTCCGCTCAGATCGCTCCTCAGACTCTTCTCTTCCCGCTCCTCTCCACCTTGACTTTCCATCTTGTCGACAGCGACAAAAAAACAACCTTTGCGGAGTACAGTCCGCATACTCGATGCCCGGCATGTTGTCGCAAGCGTCGATATCTGCAACATTTCTCCTCCTCCTAGCGTCGCTCCCGTCCAGCACGCCCACCTGCTTCCTCCCCAACGGCACCGCGCACCAGGACGAAGGAACTTCGCGCTGTTCCTCCATATCTGGCTCCCCGCTCTACAACACATGCTGCCAAACGCAATGGCCGAACCCACCAGGCGGCGATGTTATAAACGGCCCTACAGCGGATGAATGCATGCCCAATGGGCTGTGTCAGAACAGAGGCTTCAGCAGTGCACCTGGACAAGAAGCAGAGCCGTGGACGCATTTCTACCGGGTTTACTGTGCGAATGCGAACTGGGAGGGTTGCTTGGATGTCTGCAGAGACGGGGTATGTTGCTTTTCCCCGTTTGTGGCTATGCATGTGGCTGGGTGCAGAAGTTTCAGAAAGCTAACAAGCGACTAGAATCTAGCAGACTCCGTCTCACAATTGACGCCTTGCGACGGAACAGCCAAATCAGAGTACTGGTGTTGTGGAGACAGCAACGCGTGCTGTTCGGCCTCCGCTGATGCGCTGGTGTCGAAGAGAATCAGGATTCCGAAGGAGCTAGGAGGTGACCAGGTAGCTTCTGCGAGTGCGGGGCTGGCATCGCCAAGTGCTGGACCGGCTTCCTCACGTGTGGGCACGGCTTCTTCGATCGGGAGCACGATAACTAGGAGTGCAGCACCGGTAGCGACGGGGACGGGGACGGGGACGGGCGAGGAACCCACGCCATCGTCCGACGCAGCGAACCTATCTGGCCAGAACGGAGAGAAGCAAGATGAGGGCAAATCGAACTCGGGACGCAACATTGGTATCGGCGTAGGTGTCGGCGCTGGTGTGGGAGCTCTGCTAGGTATTGCAGTGACCATTCTACTGCGAAGACGGAAGTCAAAGCAGAAGACTCGGGAGATTGAAAACGAGATTGCGGAAGAGAGGCAGAAGCAGGATTTAGCCAAAGGGTACCACCACGTGGCTGAGATGCCGCATCAGGAACCTGTATGTCGAAATGTCAACGCGGCAAGGGATGTTGAGCTAACGTTGAGATAGGTGTACGAGCTTCACAGTGGGAACAGAGCTGATCTTGAGTTGGATGGGGCGAACAAGGCGCAGTCGTCCATGTATCGTTAATCCGCTGTTGGGCTCTTTCGAGTGGATGCTCTAGCTGATTACCAGGTAGCAATTGGGCTGGGTATGTACGACTGGGGAGGTATACGCAAGTCCATGCGACGTCATCCATCATAACAATCTTGATGCTTTATCCTCTTGGTCGTTCCTCTCCCGTACTATTGTCAATCTCGAGACCCTTGACTACGTCGTCTACTCCGTCTTCAGTTTCCTACACTGTTCGTCTTCCTTAACAGCCTGTAAGAACGCCAGAGCTGCGACGCCGCAAGTTCCTGTCATACTCGAGCCTATCGCAAACGCCTGGACAATCGCAAGCCCGTACCCTCCCATTGCAGCACTGGTAAGAATGGCGAACGCACTACCTGCAGCGATGGGAGCGACGCCTGCCTGAAACGCAGAGGCCATGGAGCCTATTTCATATGTTAGAAGTCAGACCGGAGATACGATGAGTGGTTGATACGTACCGGCAGCGATACCAATGGGTGTGAATCCGATAAGGCCTAGCATGGCTGGTGTGACAGCAAGAGCGATGGGGCCCGAGGCAATGCAAGCCAACAAGGTGGAGAACTGTTTAGGTTTGGCGAGAATCCATACTTTGAGCCTCTCGCTGAATTCCGAAAGATCTTCCTTGGTAAATTCGATGTTCGGGATAGCGGCCTGACCAATGTCATGGAGAATGTCGCCGCTGCTGAGCTTCTCCCAGAAGTCGCCCGTTGTGGTACCAAGATGCCTCGCCATGTCCTCCCCAAACTGTGCGATGAAGTTCCAGTCGTAATCCTCCTTGATGTATCCGTCTGGGAGTTGCGGTAGGGACTGTAGACCTTGTTTGCCGCTGTTGTAGGCCGCTCGGGCGAGTTCCATAGCATGCTTTGAGGCACTGCTGGCGATAGGCGCAGCATGCTTGCCGGCCTCTTTACTGAGCTTCTCTAGATGGGTTTTGGCGTCTGAGGCGACTGGGCCAGCACGCTTTGCTACCTCTTGGCCGAAAGCGCTACCGTGTGTCCATGCCTTGTCTGCAGCAGATGTTACATGTCGCGCCGCCTCTGGTCCGTAGGTGTCGGCGAGTCTTCGCGCGTCTTCAAGCAATCCCATCTTGTCGGAGATTGTGATTTGGCTTGTGTGTGTAGTGTCACGCACAGTGTTCTTGGTGTCGCTACGTGATAGCAAACCATTATCTGCACTAGCGCGGGATAGTTGCATGCGGAGGTGCTGCTGTGTAACACCACGACATGCGGGGTCCACGTATGAACGCCATTGCTGATGATGTTGCAGTCTCAATAGCTTGTACCAGCCGTAGAGGCCAGAGGTTGTAGTGACTCAATACTGTATATCGAGGATTGTTTGCATAACGTTGATGCAGTTGTTACGGAATAGTGAATGCACTACTCGCATAAAGAAGTAAGAAACCTGGCATACTAGATATATGACAAGGTTAAGTCGTACGACAAGTCTCATGAGTATATGGTCCATTCAATCTCCCATTGGCCAAGTTCACCATCGATCGTTATGAAACATTGGGGTGAATCGTGCCCAATGGGGCATGAACGATGCCTAGTAAATGTTGTTGGAGCTTCGCGACAGTGGCTGTCTTGCTGGTGCAACGACGAAAGTCAACTCAAGGCCAGAGAGCTCTTTCGGACCACTGCTGCCGTAGATATAGAGCACCGTCGTATACAACATGGAATGCAGTTGCTCGTGGAGGCGATAAGATTAGAGACGCGGAAATGACCGACCCGGGTCCACGTTCTAGAAGCTTGGCACGGGCCCGTTGAACAGGACTTGGAACCTGGAGGCGAGCGGACCGATATAGCGTCATAGACAACGGCCTTTAGACGACGGCGTGGACAGTGCAAACGAGTTGCGAGTGTTTGATTGATGTAGGCGCGTCGTGTAGGCGCAGTGGCGCGCTGCTAACAGGAATGTGAGTGCCTGGCGTGAGAGGTGCAGGTGATGCAGGGCCACTTAACCGGGGCGATAGGCTGGACGTCATCCGTGGATTCGTCTGATCGGCCTGGGTGATGTGCGGGACAGGGACCGGCAGCGGCCTCGCACCAACCATCGAGACGTGCGCGCCTGTCAGAGCAGGGATGGCTGCCATGTTTGACGTGCATGTGTGCAGCCTGTGTCGCGCCCAGCCTGCTGAGCTTTGTTGACGTCCCCTTATCCCCTTATAATGTCCGCCGCCGGTATGTCTCGCCCGCCTGCTGCAGGCCGCCACGATGCTGCGACGACTGCACCACGACATGGTTGACGAGAATGCCGGAAAGCTGCTGCGGAAGGACAGCAAGCGGCAGCGCGTCCTCAAGTTCTTCAGGGCTTTCAAGCAGAAGCAAACACAGCGTCAGGGTGAAGTCGCTGTACCTGTATGTCACCTGCTCCTTCTCTGTGGTGTTATCGTCACGATACTCGCACGATGATCAAGAAGCTGATAGCAAACTTCTCGACAAAGGCACCGCCCAAGCACGATAACGCTGCCCCGCAATCAGCCCCTCCACAAACACTCGATGTGATACCCCAAGAGGAACCGAGTGCCGCAGTCGATCATGAGAGCATGGCGCCCGTAGAAGAACTGGAGCCAGATCGCGTACCTACACCGCCGCAAGAAACCAAGGAGGACAAGTTGGAGACTCTTGGTGAGGGCCAGCTTCGTACGCTCTTCGCTGGCGCCCCGCAGTTTGGCATCGCAAAGACAGGCAGTCGCTACATACCAATCGTCACTCATCCTTGGAACGCCGATGCCGTGCTCAAGGAAGCTACCGATACAGTTCCACTTGCCGAACCCGCCTTCTCAGCCGCGACCCTACACGAACATCCATCCAAGACCCGGCAGCTACCCGAGACTTCGAAACAGTACAATGGTTATCAGGTCGACGTGGTGGAGATGCCGAGCATGGTCAGTGCCCAGGGTATCGAGCCGGGGACTGTGGGCTTCTCGCATTTCCTCGAGCTACCAAGGTCTGACACGCTGGCCAGCGAGCTGGACCAATCTCAGTCAAGTCAAGACTCCGCTGAGTCGGTCAGAAACAAGGACGTCATGCAGGCAACTCCTGAGCGACTGGGTATCCGTTCGGTGGACTTGAACTTGATATACGACCGCTTGGCTGAGTTCCAGGACATGTACGAGGCATTCCAAGACAGCCCCGAGCCCATGACAATCCTCAACAACCAAAGCTCTGGAGATCTGTACGCGAATCTATTCACCAAGTTCCTTACCCCTCCGGGCTACGACGACTCTACCGAAGACCCTACAGGCTTGCAGACACAAATCGTGGCCCTCCTCAGGGTATTGGGACTGAAGGGTGTCTGGTACGACTTCAGCCTTGTCGAATGGAGGATAAGGCTTGGCCAAATACTGTGGAGTGAATCCGAGCCAACCTCCGAGCATCATCACCAAACGCTATGGACAGAGCGGGAGATACTATTACTGCAGATCACCTTGGCCTGTGAGTTGCTGCTTCGATTGGATGCCTTCACGAATGCAGATGCGACCGACGCTGAGATCCGACTTCGGATTGACGCAAAGGATATCGAAGGGTTTCTCAAGATCAAGACGAGGAAGGTTGACTGGGATTTGGTGCTCGCACGGAGATTCCTCGACAACGTCGTCATTATGAGAGGCAACGATGCGCCAGTCTCACCCAAACCCAAACTACGTGGACTACTGTCATTGCTAAGCCAAGGCGCCCACGCCCAGATACCGCAGTCAGACCTCATCATACTTCCACAGCATCAAGCCAGGCAGCTATCCGGGCTTCTTTACTTTGCGAAGACGCTACAATGGCCTAGCCTTGACGTGGTCTCGGCGGACTTAGCTCGGAAGCTTGGAGAGCAAGACAAGATCGAGGAACCCACACCAGCGTCACCCAGCGGAAGGTTGCTCGACATGGCCACCCCTTCCGGCATCAGTGTCTACGGCACGCCACTGCAAACACCCCTCGCTTCCGGTCAACAGCTGGACAGCTACTTCGGTCATATCGGGAAGCCCGCTCTGAATCGCAACAATTCTCGTGCCCTGCGCATGCCACTTTCCCCCGTGTCGACCATCTCGGAAAACGATGCTACATCCAGCTACAATATTGGAGGATGGCTGAGTCGGTCTTATCTGACTGGTCTTATGCTCCCCGGAGAAGCCATCTCACACTTCCTCGTGTCGACCTTGCTTGAGAACGACAGCAATGCTATTGCCAACCTGGGAGAATCAGCGAACTTGTACGGCGGATTCACCTTTGGCGACAGAACCTTTTGGAGCAAAGCTTCCGTTGTTGGGCGTATTCTGGCGTGTGTCAAAGGCTCTACAGAGTGTATGGGCTGGATCTCATGTCCAAAGCTACCCGACAGCCCTGCCGACCGTTGGTACTCGATTCACAGCGAACTGCTTCCGCACGAGAACCGGTTGCGACCAAGAGACGGTTCTGACACAGTCGCCGAAGAGTCAGCTATCGCACCAGTCGAGTCTCTAGCTTCATTGAGGTCCGAGGACTTTGTTCTTCCTCAGGATCCTGATTCGTACCTGGGTCCCTCCTTGGTCTTCTCGCAGTGGGAACTAGTCCCAATCAATACGGACCTCATCGACGGTGACAGCTTGACAGGACCGCCAACCGAAAGTGACATCTATGCCCCGTCGATGACGTTTGTTTCCAGAGGAGATGCAGTGAGCCACACCATCACGTTGGCATACGATGTTCAGTTTGTCACTTCTTTCCCTTGCACCACAGCTGCGTCTGCACCTCCCTCGTTCACGCATCGCCCTAAGGTCCTGAGGCGCTCTGGCACCGGAACAATTTCGAGATCCTCTTCAAAACACAGCGTAACTCTTTCACGCCGCAACAGCCACGGCTTTGAGCCGCTCTTATCGCATCCACCGGATGCCTCAGACATCGCGCCAAAGCGGATGTACGAAGCATCTACCGGACCAGAAGTCGAGGCACTTGCGACTAGTAGCAAGCCCATGAACGCGCATCCTCTACACCAGTCGTACTCCTACAAGATCGTGCCAGTCACCGATGTTCTGGATCCTGACTTCTTACTGCCGTTCGAGCTTCACACGTCAAAGTCTACGGAGCGCCTACTCGATCTGTCGCGGAGCAACGACAGCGAGACAGCGGAGACAATCAAGAATAGCAAGAAGGCTGTGTTGGTACTAGATGCCAGGGCTTCGTCTGATCTTCAGTTGCTCGCACGAGCCTGGTGTGCGGAAAAGGGCCTTCATGCGATCGTGAGTCGTGTAGGAAGGACTTGTTTGGGTTGCTCCATTCGCGAGGCCAGAGGTTTAGGCATCCACATTGTGATCAGGGTATAGGCTGCCGCGTGACTACTTGGTCACTTACGCCAGCACTGGAGTTTTCTACCACATTTCTCAAATTGTCACATCGTCTTCCAGACTAGGAGTTGGGGGTTTGGTTTTGCTACAGGCCATTATTGCGGGCGCGCATACAAGATACCCACATTGTGAATGAATACTACTGTTACTGTCCATTGCCCATGTCAAATGATCCGTTGCCACGTCCTTTACTTGTTTGAGAATCGCGTGAGACGAAAATAACGTGTATCCACTATTTGCGCGCGTTCACAATCAGCCACCGCATTCACTCCTAGACCGCATGACTCGTATTTCGATGATAACGGTGCGATTGCAGAGGCTGTGTTTTCCTACTCTGAGTTCACTTAGCAAGATCGGCGGCGCTCACAGCCACGTGCTGCTAGCCGAGGGGGGCGGGCTGTGTGGGTGGCCTGGCGTGCCTGATCTCACGCGAAGCGCGTTTGAACTTTCGCGGATCGAAAATCAAAAACTTCGAACACCGCTCACCAAGGCTCTTATCACGTTAAATTTGATATCCAATACGTGTCAATTACCACAAGCTCTCCTCATTGTTTCTGCCAAGAAGATACATCATCGTCCCTGCCCTACAAGCTCACCTGGTCTCTTCTTACATCATCCTTCCTTCCTCCTTCGTTCAGCACCGACCCTCTACCACCAAACTCATCCAGCAGTCGCCACTCTCTCCCCGGATCCAAGATGAATTACGCCCCAATGAACCCAGAGACAGAGGAGTTCACACCTGCGCACGACGAGCCGAAAGACTGCTGCACACGATGCATACAGCGGATAGATTGCACGCTGGCAGGCCCCTGGTGCATCGAATCAATTATTGCGTGTTTTGCGAGTATGTCAGGTTGTTTGGGCGATGCGTGTAGTAATTGTGGGGACTGCTGTGGTGAATGCTGTGCTGGGTGTTGCAAGGCATTCACTTGACGCAGAAACATGGGAAGAGAGGAGAAAGAGGAAGACCCCTCAGACGTTTGCGGTATTTATCAATCAACAAGCCCGCTGTTTTTGGGGTATCGTGAGTGGTTCGTTAGGGGTCTATGGGTCATCGCAGAACCAGAATATGGCGAACCGAAGTCTGGCATCAAGCACATGTAAAAGAGGTGGATGACTGAACAAAAGGTTGGAGCGTGCCTGAAGAGCTTCGCACGCTGCTCGAACGCGATTACCTTGGATGCATGCCAACACGCCGACACGACAGAAAGCACTCGCCATTGCGACTCCCACAGCGCGAAGCACGTGCGAAATGCCATGCTGATGGTCTTTGACCTTCAAAGTAGCATCTGCTATACTCTTCCACCCCAAACCTCCGCTCATCAGCCATCGCCTCTATCGCTACAGCATTATTGCTATCATCTGTTGGCATCGGGGTTCAACGGCGTCATCATCAAAGGTATGCAGAGCATGACCTAGTTCGGGACTGTTCTAATGTGATGCAGCAGTCATTTCGTCTCATCCTCACCCACCGGCATCCAGTCATTAGAGCAGCACTTGAAGTATTCGCGCTTTGCTTTTTCTTCGCAAAATCATCCACAGCAGGTGCACCTACCTTTTCAGACACATAGCATACAGACTACGGGTCAATCGACATCCCAATCATGCCTGGGAACGCAGGTCGGCGAGCTCGCCATATGCACGGCTGTGGTAGATTCTACATAGACCGTAGGATATGTCCTAATTGTGGAGCGACGGTATACCAGTTCTCCGGACACGCAGTTCAGACTTGTAGGACTTGTAAATACAACTTTATCTGGAGAAGTGAACCAGAAGTCGTACCAGCGAAACCTCCCCCTCCACGTCCTCTTGGTCAGTCTGACTTAACTTTTGACGTGCCGTATTGGGGCTGATTGAGAATAGGCCGCGGACTCGTACGCGTGTTGAGCGATATAGAGGATGGCGATGAATCAGATAATTCAGATGACGAAAGCCTGAGACCGAGAAACAGCATCACCACTGAGGAGGGGTCTTTCAGCAATCGTTCGAGCTCGAAGACCAAATCCAGAGACGACAGCGTCGTCAGTCTACTCAAAAACTGGGCACCATACACCTCCAAATCAGGCCGGGCAGACGATACACAACTGCCAGCAACTCCTCCAGTCAGCCTTGACTCGCTCAGCACAGTCCGCAATTCTCTTCTCTCTCCCTTCATCCCACCTCCACGATCCCGCATACACGTTCCAAGCAGATTCCGAAGGTACACCAACCGCGTCCGAAGGGAACCCGTGGTACCTAGTCCGTCCGTGGTGACCGCCGATGCTATCAAGAGAGTACCTCGTATGGTCATGGTCAGACAAGCCTTCTGTCTCAATTTCATGCTCGAGGCACGGGCACGCGATCCACCAAGACATGGAGGATCTCTCAGACACCCATCTCCTGTGATCGAGCCGCGTGATCCTGACGGTGTGGTTCTGCAGCACTGCGCTGATCTTCATCATGCTCTTTTGCCGCTTGAAGGGTGGGATAGAGATGGAATGGTCGGGGAAATTAGAGCTGCTGAAGAGCGAGATGTTGAACGAGACCTAGAGATGGAATTACTCAGCATCTTCAGCCCCGACGCGCTTTTCGAAGTCAGCGATGCCGATGAAGTTGCTCTCCTACAGCCCGAACAGTCCGGTGTCGATGGCAGCAATGAGGATGGGGAGGTTACGCGTTGCGGGGAGGAGAAATCTCTCCGCGATCTCATGCGGGAATTTTCTTGCTACACGTTCATGCGTAATCTGGGTGCTGGGCTGAAGAACAAGGTACGAAAGTGGAGGAGATGAGACAGGATGCAACAACAGCTCTAGGCTGAACATGTGCGTTTGCGCGCTGGTGTCATTCGGTCTGTCGGAAACACTGTACTTCGACAACGCGTTAGAAACTAGTGACGTCGACTCTGAGAAAGAGCATGCTCCTGACCCGACATGTCTATCGCTCAGTGGAGAGTCATGGTTAGCATGCAAGACAGACCATAGAGCTATAAAAAAAATCTGAACACGCGAAACTTTCGAGTGCTGAAGGATTCTGATCGTTCTTTGTTTGCTACTTAAAGCAAAGGAATCATTGTCATAATAACACGCTGGTGCATATGCTCCAACATGATTCCGTAGTAGATATACATCCAGCCCGTTCAATCCTCCCATCTGCCCGCACCCGACGCCTAGCTTTCCAGCCGGGGAATCCACTTTCCAACCTCTCAACTCTATCTTCACCCAGTCGTAATTTACTTCAGAGCCTTCTCCGCCTTCTTCTCCGCCTTCTCAGCAGTGTGCTTAACATCCAGCATCTCGCCCTTGGCCTGACCCTCGGTGTTCTCCAGACTCTTGTTGTACATGTAAATGCGACCGACTTGTGTGGCACCAACGCAGAAGACGAGGAAGTTGACACCAGCCAGCGCGACGTTCTTGGGGCGGATGACGAAGCACCAGCGCGTCCAGATGGCGCCTGTGCACATGAGAGCGAAGTTCTGGGTGAAGGAGAGGGATTCGGCGGGGCGGGAGAAGTCGGAGGCGCCGGCGAGGACCATGCCCCATTTCATTACTGGGGCCCTGCTGGGGTGTTAGCATTTGTGCGATGGCTTGGGTGTGGTGGGGTGGGTTTTGGAGGTGGGTGTTTGCTGCTGCGGATGCGTATGCGCTTCGGAGAGTGCGGGGAGCTGGCAGCGCATTGCGGGTGGAGAGGGAGGTGGTATCGAGGCAGCGTACCAGAAGTGGACTGTCTTGGGGCCGATGGGGCTGTTCCAGAACTTCTGGAAGCCAGCGGGCTCAGCGCCCGCCGTGGAAGCATGTCGGCGGGCATTTGCGCGTTGGAAGAAGGGTCGGAAGGAGCTGAAGATGCGGGAGCCGGGGCGGAACGACATGATGGCGAGCTGTGTCCTGGACTCTCGAGGTCGGCGATTCGAGTGGGAGCAGGAATTGGGGCGTCGAGAGCGAGGTCGAAGCCGGAGCGAGTGTCGTGTGCGAGAGCCGTCGCGATGTCGGGCTCAAGCATGAGATGATAAATCCGGGACTATCGATGGGGGTGCTCCGACTGCTTTAGGCCCGTTTGGGTAAGGCGTGCGTCTGGCAGCTTGACGAACATTGAATGTCGCTGCCGGCCCAGTGACGACAGTCACCGATTGATACCCCCGCACACCAGTACCGGTCTTACCATGGCGTCAAAAGCATTCGCAAACGGCCTCAAGGAGCTGAGGTTCCTGTTCTGCCAGACCAGCGAGCACAGCGCCGCGACAAGGTATGCGACAACCGAGTGAAGGAGCGCAACCCAACGCGCACGCCATTGCACAAGAGCAGGATGGGCAGGACAGGCAGGATAGAGCGAACCGCGCTGACCGACTGGACAGGAATTTCCTCATGCGAAGCTACCCCGCCATGAAGAAGGCCAACCCATCCATCCCCATCATGATCCGCGAAGCCAGCAACACCCAGCCCACCGTATATGCCCGATTCGGTGCGTCACACTCAACCAGGATATATGAGAGGATTGCTAATAATCTGGGGTAGACTTCGGAAAGGAGCGGAAGCTGTCACTGAAGGGCCTGGACGACAAGGCCATCGAACAACAAGTCACAGAGCTGGTACAGAAGGGCGCATGATTACATACTGGGAAGGAGGACGAGTGAAGAAGACAAGAGTCGTAGGTGAAGACGAGTAGGCATACAAATAGCTCAAGAGAGCACAGCATAATAGCTCTGTATAGCCCGAATTGACCGTCTTCGAGAGTCCATTTCTCTTTCACCTCGACTTCCAAATTCCTCATTCACCATCACCATCCCATCTTTTCCGTACCATATAAACTGCCCATCCGCCTCCCATCTTCCTATTTCCTCAGCCGCCAGAACCTCTTTTGCAGACTACATACTCTCCACATCTCACAAACACTCTGCAAAACATCACCGAGACTACCACATACACTAACGATGTCTCCCCAGACCAACTTCCCAGGTCACCACGACGCCGAAATCGCCGCCGCCGAGGTGGATATCCTCGTCGTGAGCGACGTGAGTACCTCCCGGCCCCTCTATCATTCTCATATCAGCACTGACAAAGATACTTGTAGCACCCCGCCCTCGCAACCGGCCGCGCGGCCGAAGAACTCAAGCGCATCGAGGCGCAGTATCGGCACGTTGTCGAGCTGCTGATGAAAGAGAAGTCGGCTGCGGCCGCCCGGATCGAAGATCTGGAGACCACCAACGCCGCCCTGCTGAAAATCCTCGGCAAGAAAATGGCGGACGAGGTGAACGGCATCTTTGTGCAGACGCACATTGTGCCCGACAAGAGGGTCGTGCTTCGGCCTGGAGAGGAACTCTGGTCTGGCATCTTCAAAGATGTTTGAAGATGGGTTGGGTGGTTTGGTACTATTCTGATGCCCCGTCTTGTTTCCTCTTCCCCTTTCCCGATTTTGTTTTTTTGTTTTTTTGTAGATAGATATCGACCTTCTGGCATCAAATTCCATCGCGTGGTGTGCCGCATATCATGTCTTCTTGGTGCGTGTACAGTGGTGTCTTCGTGATTCTCTGATTTTGACGTTGTGAATGCAACATGTTCTACATGCTTACATATAAAACAATACCTCAAAGTACCGCATACATCTTCCAGAGTAGCAACAACAGGCTCAATCTCAGAGCCATTGTAGCCCTCTCAGTATCACTTGTTCGGCGTCTTCCGTCGCATAAATCCCTCGACTCCCATCACGCCCACCTGAGAACCTAGCATCATGTCCGCCTCAATGACATGTAAGCCCCAACAAGCCGGCTTCTTCAGCCGGTTTCGTCGCACCGACTCCGTCATGGGCTCACCCACAGGCTCTGCTACGCCTTCCCTGGCGCCCTCTCTCGCATCCTTGAGTCAGGACAACGACAATCTGGCTGCGATCAACACTCGCCTACAAAACCGCAACCAAGAGCTGACGCAGCAGTCTGAACTCAACCAATTACTGTTCCAGCAAACCTCTGAAGAGCTCACAGCGAAGGAGAGTGAACTTGTGAAGCTGAAAGAGAGGATTCGCGACAATGCTGAAGCTACGAATGAGACTATCCAGGCTCTTGGACTGCAGCTCCAGACTCTAACCGAGCAACTGGCAGAATTGCAGGACAAGGCTACTGCGCGTGAAGCCCAGCTAGTCGAGCAATCAGACGGAGCACAAGACACCGCTACCGATCGTCATGCTCAACTAGCTGACATAGAAGAGCAGCAACACCAGCTCTCCTTGGAAGCTGCCCATGTGCAGTCTCCGACCCAAGAAGACGTCGACGACTTGATCTGGGCCAAGCTCCAGGACAAGAATAAGACGATCCACTTCCTGCGTTGTCGCCAGGCCAAGTCTGATAAGCGCATCCAGAAGCTGCAGGAGCGTCTGGAGGTTGAGCAGAGTGTGGGGAGAGATTGGGTTGAGACTATCATGATGGTTAATATGAAGGTTAGGGCGAGGGCGAAGGTGGGGGATGATGTTGATCCTGGGGTGTAGATGTAGGTGGCACGGCTTGATGGTATGGTGTGGTGATTGGCAAATAGTAGTCGGACTAGGCGATATTTACATAATGCACTGTACATTTCTCGTAGTGTTTCAGATCTATTCTCCGTCCAAATATTCACCCATTAGGTCTTCGTTATTCGTGCTCTTCTCTCTACCTCCCGTCAACGCTAGCAGCTTCCATCAAAGGCCCGCTTGTCCATGCTGCAATGCCCGTAGCACACTTCACAGTAACACCCTCGACGTCAGTCCGCTGCGCCTCCTGTTCACTTCCCAACAAGATGACTCCGAGGTGTCACGTAAGGCGAAAGACGCCACCAATGTATCGCGTAGTCACATGATCCCTCATGTACTGCTCTTGGGTGCATCCTTGTTCCGTGCTGGACGCCACCAATAATGCTCCTCAGGCACATCACATACAAACACCTGTGTCGCTGTTGAGTCGCTCCGAAACTACGATAGCGTGGTCGACTAGGTTGATGCCTGTTGGTGTTGGTGTTTCGTGGCACACGTAGTGGGCTGTCAGGCGCCTGTCTTTGTTGTGTCATCGCCCGCCTTTGGTCTCCGAGACTCCGAAACAGAATGTACCTGCATGTATGGCTAATGCCAACATGTATGTTGCCGCCGTTTTTGTGCTCATTCGGCTCTTTTGCCGAGTAGGTGCGCAAATGATCTGCATGCTGCAGGGTATTCCGAACGAAGTATGAATTGACGACGGGTGCTGTACCCTTGGAAGATTCTTTGCCTCATTTGCCTCATTTGAATGTTGTCAATAACCTGGCCATGACGCGTGTGCCTTAGGTGGCAGTGTAAATGAATCTGTTGAGTTGGCGTGCTTGGTAGGTGTGCTAAGACCCTCAATTGATGTGCGATAGTTTTGCAGTGAGACACAATCGTAGCCCACTGATCTGTGTGTTCCAGGAATGTGTCTCGAATTGCGATAGCGTCATGCGGTATTTTCAGTCCGCTCTTCCGTCATACCTACTGTCTGGCGCTTGGTCGTCGCGGCAGTCAAGCGAGGATACCGAAAGCATCCAACGTTACATCGGCCGAGCTGTACCTTGTTTGCGCAACGACCCAATACTCGACCCTGGCGGCGCATGCCTGGTCAACATGATCACGGGATCATGGTAGCTCTGTTGCTCATGTAGACGCCCGCTGGTATCGGACGGCTGCAGCTTACTAGCTTCCTTGGGTGGAGGACTGACATGGATGACGACGACTTGGAATGCAAGCCACAGACGGGACCTTGCGGTAGGACGTGATGAGTCGCATGATCGACGTACTGAGCCAACTCTAGTTGCATTAGATGTGTCTGCAGATTCTATCATCGGTCTTCCAAGCATGGATCATGCGTTCTGTAGCACCTCTGTGCTGTAAGGCGGTTGGCTGCTCTGACAGCAGGCACTACAGTCTGTGGCTGCTATCTGACAGCCCGTGTATTCATGACTATAGTACTGTAGCCTATAACAACGTGTCTTAATTTCGAACAGTTTTTCAACATGCAAGCCACCTCGAGGAGAATACGTAGTGTATGTCGTGCGCGCACGTTGATACTGGCCGCCCGGGTGACGCATGTGCGATCGCTTGAGCGCACAAGACCGGTGAGCTCAATTGGGCCGTTTTGAAACGAAGTACAATCGTTGATATCTGAGAGTTGTTGGACCGACTCCTTATCGCCAAAAAGACGGCCCAGTGTGATGCGAATGAAGGTCCATTGAAGTAAGGTCGATATGTCTTACGGCAATATGCTGGAAGCATTGAGTGTCTTAATGCCGTGCTGGAGCGTAAGATATGAGTCCTTCGATTGTACCTTTTGGTCCGTGATCGAATGCGGATTGAGCTTAATTCTGGACATTGCTGAGCGATATGGCTAGTTTCGCTCCTTGTACCTCGCAACGCCAACTCCCAAAACAGGCATTACGAAGCAAACCCGACCTTGAAATGCGAACATTAAGTCTCCGAAGAGAGAACGACAAATGTAAGATCTGCTGGAATAGTTGGTGAATGCAGAAACGTGATTGGAGGCCTGGTTATGGTTCAACCGAGGAGGACCTCCCATTCCCACTCTTTCATGACACTCAACCAATGCAAGCGGCTCTTGACTGTTACTCCCGAATTCTGGGAGTCTGTGGTACCAGACGGTATCGGCATCCCGTACGGTGTTTCTCGTGAACCGAAGTCGCGATCGGCGTCGTAATCATCGGGATAGGCGTCGCCCTCGCAAATAATGGATGCGTCTGATGAGAAGCTGTCGCTGCGCAAGTGCTCCATATTCATGGTTGTACGCTCAAGCGCATGATTGTCGCGTCGGTTCCAGACTTCTTTCGTGACTTCCAAACATCGCTCTATGATCCCTAATTTCATTCTGGTAGACATCAGAGACCAGCGATCTTTGACCCATTCCCGATTGTCCGGCTCAGTCATCTCACAGCCAGCAACCATCAGAGGGTAGATGTGCACGATGATCGAGCGTGAGCGTGGATGAACGGTGGCCAAGGCGCACAGTACTTTGTTTGCGAGCACGCCGGGTGGCTGGGAAGGAACCTCAGGTACGGCTTGGTGAAGATAGAGCAGTGTTGCGTATTGATAAGCGATCGCAGTCTTGATAGCATCTTGCGGACTTGTTGTCTCATCTTCTGGTTCTTCAATGTGAGAAGGCGGCGTCCATTCCTCGAGTTGAGATTTCAATTGCACTGCTTGCGATATGATGATGGGTCCGTTGCTATCGGATCTCCGCACTTTCCTCACCAGATTGGCGACCCGACCAATGATGGGGAAGAGCGTGTGCGCGCAGCCCATCAACGGGTCAAGAGTAGAGTCGGTGTCTCCAGCAGCATATATGCTTTCTCTCACATTGTCGACATCGTATGCGTCGTCTTCATCAGCAGAAGTAAGGCGAGCAAGAACGTCCATGTAAATCCAAGTGTTGCAAAGAAACTTCAGCCGAGCCCATTCTTCGCCTTGCTTTGGCATGAGACGATGGTTCATGAGTGCTTGATTGATCAAGATCTTAGCTCCTTTGATGTGGTTGATGCCGGTACTGATATGCTGGTCCCAAGATTCGGCAAAGGCCAGAACAAGTGTAGTCGATATAGCTGCGTCGACACGCATGTTTTGAAGTCCAGCAGCCAATGCATGTACGGCGCTCCGCATATGATCTATACCCTGGATGCGCAAAGTAGGCATATCTCTTGCCTGATGGAAGGAGGTCATCGATGCGATGGCATGATAGAGCGCGGGACAATCCCTCGTTAGAGGCCAGATGAGAGTCCGCCATGGGTTCTCTGTAGGCCCGTCCTTCAGTGACAGTACGCCGCACGTGTCCCTATGATAACGCCGTGTGAGTGACTCCGCCGATGTCGTAGATAAATGCAACTGGGTCGGGATCTTGAAGTCGGGAGAATTCGAGGAAGAGCCTGATGAGCTTGGTGTTGTGGGCGATGGTAGCCACATCACGCAAGCTGCAGACTCGTCAATCTTATCGCGTACAACTTCTTCATCAACATCGTCATCCAATGGCGCTGGCGGAGTCATACCAGAGGGCTGATAGAAAGCCTCATGCTGAGACACAAAGGAAGAGTACTCCTCCGGTGGCACATTTAGATCTGTTCCTGGGAGTAGGAGGTCTACTATTCGGGGAGATTGGCCTGACGAAAGGCTTGAGTCAGTATTCGTATTGGCTCGTGCAGTAGTCGTACTTTCGGCTCCAATAATGCCAAATGGCTCGAAAGAACCTGGCGCATATGACTCCACTGGTGATATCGACTGAGAGATGATGAACGGCGATGTCGTCGGGACACTGAATAAGTTTCCCATAGGTGCCAAGGGAGGATGCGGGAAGGCTGCTTGTATGGGCGGACCATGCGTGTAAGGGTATGAGTGTTGGTGCGGCGAATAGTATACCCCAGGGTGGGGTGGGTTCCCGAAGGTGCATTGGTACTCCTGAAGACCGTACTGTCCCTGGAATTGCGAAGGCACAGCTGTTGATATTTGGGGGGTCGGATCTAAGCCTGTCAGATGCGGAGCAGTATGGCTGTGCAAAGACTGACCTTGATGTGGATTGACGGGCGCTTTGCTCGCAGTGTTCAACTCGTCATAGTGCTTCCATTTGTAATCTTTGGCGTACCCGCCGCATGTTATTGCACGTCTTTCGCATTGCTTGCACGTAGGCTTGCTTTCGTCACATTTCAAGCGCTTTGCCTTGCAGGAAACGCATCCTATACAGAGGTCAGTGTGGTCCCAGGTGGAAACAAGTCAAGTTACGCTTATCATGTGAGCGATAAGAGTTGACGCAGGGGAAGCATACCATTACGGCTCTTGGACTGCTTCCTCTTGGTGACGCCAGAAGTATCGGAGGCTTTGGTTGTCTTCTTCTTCGCGGAACATGATGCAGATGACGCCTGCTTAGCGGGCTTGACGTCGATCGGAGCAGTCTCGGATGATCTCAGCACGGATGAGGATGACGAAACAGTGATAGCCTCAGCCATCTGCCGCGGAAGGTGCGAGCGTTCGGTCGCTGGGCGAACTTGTCGGCGGCCCAAGATATCATATGCAAAACAACAATTGACTAGCTACGCAGAAGCGAGAAGAATCACCGGAGGTTTGGTAGATAAGCAGGAAGGCAGCGGTATCTAAAGTGGAGAAGAAGCTGGGGAGATGCACGGCTAGTCATTAGCGCCTTACCTATCGGGTTCGCGAATCACGCGTGGGGTCCGGTTCCAGCATCTTTCTTCACTCTGCGCAATCGCGAATTTTCTTCTTCAAGGTCTTGTGCTCAGTGATATGCGGCGGTAGCTACTCGAGTCCAGTATATTGTGCGACGGCTGACAGTTGGTATTAGCCGTTGGCTGGGATCGTGGTGCAGGCCCCTCATCGACGCTATCCGCATTCGGAACCCTTGCAGCCGGCCGCGAACCGCTCCACGAACGGCTCAGCCTTGTTTCGGGAGCGACGCAAAGCCGTGGGAGATCCCGTGGAGCATGTATGAGGAACTTATTCGCTTTGGGAACTCTACATCAAAAGTCTAGACTAGGCCTACTTGGAGCCGGCCTCTTTTGGTTGCACTGCGCACAGAAGACACAAAACAGTGGGAGGCTAAGCTTTCTCGTATCTCCATGTCGTCCTTCACAAGACGGAAATATGTCGTGTTGGTCTCAAGCAACATGTAGTGCCCGAGTGTCTTCACACTCTTCCATCACCATCTGAGGCCGCAGCCAGAGTCTACTGATCTGCTGGCGAGGAATATACCTCTCCTTTGTCCTCAATCTCGTACGTGATACCATCGACGGTGATCTCCTTCTTGCCTTCCTGCATAGCTTTGATGAGTCCAGGAGCCGCAGCAGCGACAGCAATCGCGGTGACTGTACCCGCGGCGACGCCGTTGACAAGTATAGCACCACTGCCGCCTGCTGCTGCGCTTTGGAGAACCGCAAAAGCGCTTCCAGCTGCAACGTTTCCGATACCAGATTGAACTGCAGCAGCGGCAGATCCTATAATTCTGTCAGTCGAGTGCGTAACATAGAAGACAAGGAGATTGTGACGTACCAGCAGCAACTCCCTTAGCCGTGAAACCCACCATACGTAGGACGCCGTGCGCAGCCCCGATACCGAGAGGAGCGGCGACGACACAGGCGATCATGCCAGCAGTCTCTCCTGGATGCTCCTCAATCCATTGCTTGGTGTGCTCTGCCGCGGTACCAATGTGCTTTCCAGCCTCTTGACCAAAAGCGTCTGTACGTTTCCAGGCTTCCTCCAGAGCAGGGCCGATATTTGGTCCTACGTCTTGTCCAAAGGCGTCCATGTGTTTCCAGGTTTCTCCGAAAGCAGGGTCGATCTTTGGTCCAACATCTTGACCGAAAGCGTCGAGGTGATTCCAGGTCTCCTGCGCGACGTGGCCCACGTGCTTTCCAGCTTCCTGTCCAAAGCCGTACAAGGCCTTCCAAGCGTTGTCGAAGAAGCCCATGATGAGCCTGGGACTGTTCGTGATGTGATAGGTGATGAAAGTGGCAGTAATTTTTCGAAGAAGGAAATTCGAGTGTGTGGTGTCTCGGAGGGGAAGCGAGAGGAGGCGGGGGAAAGTGAAAGTGAAGGGGCGGTAAAGAAGCGCAGGGCTGAGTAAAGCCAATTGTGCAAGATACAGCTAAGATTACATTACCAAAGTGTACATAGGCTTCGAAGAAGAGCCCCACAATATGCAAACGCCGGACAGCAAGGACGCCTAGAAAGCCGAGTACCACCTAGAAGAAAAGAAAAGGGTATCTCCTCTCGTAGTCCTACAGTCAATAGTAGCTCAACCCCGAAGCCCTCACCTTCTTCTTCCCTTTCTTCTTCTTAGCCGGCGTAGGACTAACCACATTACTGCGCCCACCTAGCCTCTCCTTCCTCTTCTCCTCGCCACCATTCATACCCGCCATCTTACTCGCACCGCCCGTCATGAAGTCACCATAGGCGCTTTCAGCATACAGAGCAGGCGTCGTAGTGCCGCTGGGTAACCACTCGCTGCCTTCTTCCCATGCGATACCAGCAGCGTTCGCGGCGCGTACGCCCTCGATATAGGCTTCCATCCTGCTGCGTTCGTCGTCGTTTTCGAGGCCACAGCCGCATCCACAGCCGACAACACATTCACCGTCGTCCATACCGATCTCTTCGTCCATGCACTCCATGTGTGCGACGTGTCCGCATGAAGGGCAGAGGTGGAAAAGACCGGAGACGCGGATCCAGCAGATACTGCAACTGTACACGGGGTCTGTTTTGGTGGGCTTGGAGGATGTAGTGGTGATGTTGGTGCGCGAGCGTCCGTCACGCCATGATGAACCGGCCGAGACGGTTGATGTGCCTCGTGAGAGGCTGGGTCGGCTCGCTCTGCTGGGTGGGGGTTGCAGTCGATTCTGTCCAGGCGACGTGTCTAGGCCGGCAACGCTCTCGTCTAGCTCCTTCGTTGGGGTTGGGACGGGTATTGAAAGTTGGAGATACTGTTCTGTTGGAATGAGTGTGCTGAAAGACGGTAGACCCTCTTCTGATATACCGCCAGATGTCGTTCCAGGTTGGAACTCCATTGCTTCGGGGTTGAAGGAGAAGTGGTGAGGTGATGCGCCAGGCGTGCGCTTCATCTGCGATGTGGTGGGTGTTGGAGGAACCAGAGTTGATGAAGCTCGAGATAGATGTCTTGATGTCTTTTCATCGCCGCTTTCGTCGGCGGATGTCTTTAGTGCGAGCGATACTGAGCCATGTTTGAGGCCGGTACGAGGAGCTTCAGCTGGGAAGTATGACACAAGGCCGTTGAACTTTAGTACTTCGGCCCGTATGCTGATCAAACCCCAGCGGCTCAGCATCTCAGCATACTGCTCGCGCCAAGCCCGATGTAACCAGTCTTTACTTGTGTCTAGTAGTGGCCTACTGAAACATGCCTCATCATCGAACTGATCTTGATTCTTGAGCGTGACCTTGATGCCTCCTCTGTTACTGACACCATCTTTAGGTTTGTCAGACGGGCCACTTTCTTTTGAGTTCGCTAGTCTGTCGCCACCGTCATCCTCGACTCTCTCGTAGTCAGAATCTGAATCCTCTATGTAGTTGACATTGACTTGCTCTGACTGTCCGAAACTTGCTCGCTTGCCGTGCTTTGAGCGTGAGGTTGAGAGATTGTTTTGATCATGGGAGTCGCTTCCATAGAATGTGGTTGTGCCCCAAGTAACACCACTGGTGGGTGCTGAAGTTGAGAGATCGTCCATGCGTGACCTCACTGGAGGTGAAGAGGACATTGCGTTTGCAAAAGGACGCGACAATGCGGCAACAGCACTTGCGAAATTTGCAGCGGAGCTTTTTTTATGCGCCGTGTGACTTTGCTCTGGCGATGTTCCGTATGGTGTGTGATTAGCCGTCTGCGCACTCCTCATTGTAGACGCCCTGGACAAGGCGGGAGGCGTGTTACCAGTAGAGTATGGCGTAACAGATTCGGAGCTGACATGGTCGCTACCCCACGGGCCATTTGAGCTTCCATGACTGCCGTACGTATCGAAATTCTTGGCCAGTCTTTGCCAAGCAAACTCGTTGGCCGGCGTTGCAAAACGCGATTGCGATGGCGTAGAGGGAACAGAAATTGTGGGCTGGAACAAACTCCACGCAGCATCCACTGAAGGGAAGTAGTCCAATGAAAACGCTGGTGCTTCCATGGACATAGGCAGCTGGGATTGTCGCATCTTGGCCATGGCTGAAGTGACACCTTCGCGAGCAGCAGGTTCTGCAAAGATACACGACAGCATAGCAAGCATCTGGGTATCCGCTAGGCGTTCGAAGTGGTCGAACAGTGATGGTATCAACCACGTGACGACAATGTGATGTCCCCATTTCACGCGAGCTTTGAGCTTAGGATTGGCCACGGTATCTGCCTCGTCGAATTGTAGGTCCAGCCCACTATCCTTGCGTTTGATTCTCCTAAGAGCTCTTCGGGCGAGTACAAGAACTTGGTCCCTCCGGTACTTTTGAGGTAGTATCTCCAAAGGCACCTCATTACTCAATATCAGTTTGCAGAGGATCCAGATATCCGCGAGATCATCAAAGCCGTACTTCCGAGCTACTTCAGAGTTGTGCTCGCAAATCACTGGTCCAGGTCCAAAGATCCTGTATTCCTCTGCGAGTTCACGTTTACTGGGTACCAGATCATGCGTAGCAGAAAATAGTATTGACACCGTCGACTTAGGTTTAGCCGCCTGCTTTCCTCCGCCAGTCGAAGAGGGTATTGAGTTTCGCGACTGGAAGCGAGATGCCGATTTTTGCCAAGCAAGAGGTGGCTGGAAGTTGCCTATATGTGAATTTCCTGCATGGTGGGAGTCGGACGATGAGGATAGGGTGGAGGATGTTTCCCATGATCCAACGGAGGAGGATGGCGACGACGCGCCATCGGAGGCTCCTGGATGACGATTCGTGAAGCGGCCAAACGAATCGAAGATGTCATTCTTCGAAACACCCTGTCTGAGATTCCTGGTAATCTGGAATCTGAAGGTATCTGCGCCAGGGATAGATTTTGCTACGGGTATCCTTGCGACTACAAGGGATCCATCTACCGAGAACCGTGCAGTACACTGAACCGGCAGCGGTATGTTGGCATTAGTATGGGATGACTGCATGACGTCATCAGTAAACTCGCCCTCTTGGTCTTCATCCTCACTAGAGCTTTCGCCAGGCAGTGGTCCAAGGTCTGCGAGCGCGTCATCATCTCCGGCTAGGTCTAGGCTGTCGTCCAAAGCCCGTTCACCCAACGCATACGAAAGGACTGCTTCCAGGCCCTCTCGCTGTTGGTCTGCGCAGGTTTCCGCAATACGGTGCATATTGTTCGTCAATTCGTCTTGGGTTTCTTTGCTAATCGCCGCTGTCGTTCTCTCAAACTCAATGTGCAAAGGAGTCGATATCCTGCTAAGAACGGAGCCCGATTCTTCCCTTTTGATTGCCCTCGGGTAGGAAACTGGGAAGTTGATTGTGAAGCGAAGAAACACTAATCTGGGTTCGTTTGTGACTGCATCCCAATCACCCCATGGACCGTTGAAGGAGACCTTGATGCGTCGTCGGGGAATATCGATTTCTTCAAAAGCAAGCTTCTTGTACTTTTGGCCTACCAAAGCAATCTCTGCACCAAGGTCGTTCTGCTCCTGAAATGGCTGCTTCTTATTACGGTCGTGATGGTTAGGGGGACCATGGAGGTCATTGATATCGTTGTGACGGTCACTCCCGAATTTGATGCCATTAATCCACTTCATGTGATTGACTACACGTGGATCATGTCGCCGAATCGGGCGAGCCGTCATGGTTTCTCGCGGAATTGTCTCATGTTGAATCCGAGGATGTGTTCGGTCATGGTGGCGCGGAGCGTAGGCGTCTTCGTTCAGTGAGTAGTTCTGGAGGAGAGTGGAAAGGTTGCCTTTGCGTTGTCGGCGAGGAGGGCCGAATTCGTCCTGAGTGGTTGTGCTTGTGGTAGTAGGAATAGGCCCATCGCGATATGATACATACGTTGCACCTTTTCGCGTCCTGCTGGGCTGTTCGACAAGTGGTTCGCCTTTGCGGTGGCCGACCCACGCTTCCAAATCTTCCGAAGAAAGACGGTGAAGTATTAGTTGCCTGTCAGTGCCATAAGAAACCAACTGAAAGTCCCGGTTGTCGAACCCGTCCTCGGTAGAGCCACGCGTGCGCCAGAGGAACTCGCGAACTTGGGAATCAGGGGCGTGCTTGGGAAAGTTCGTAGCAGATGTATTGGTGAAGGTTGAAGGATCGCTACCATCAACGTGTTTGTACAGCCAAAGAGAGGAGTTGCCACGTTGCGGCATGGCGAGGATACCGTGTGGAAAGGGCGTGTGTCGCGCTCGCCACACAGGATAATCAGTGCGAATAACGCGGCGAGGAACAGTAATGTTGTCTTTTAAGCCTACGTTGTTCCAGAGTTTAATCGTCGCGTCGAGTGAGCAGGTCATGATCTTGTTCGCGTCGTTGCGATTCCAGTCAATGCCGTAAATCTTGGTCGTGTGCGCGGTGATGGTAGAAAGAGGATTGGCTCCATGACGAGTGTCCCAGATGTGAAGGTATTTGTCG